AAAGAAATCGCCAATATAAATTCATGATCTATAAGACCATCCGTTATACCCACCACATTCTTCCACCACTAACATGTGATACCTACCACTAACAAACCACTCGATCTCATTTTTTTTAATTCAAAATTTCAATAAAATCATTTTTTTAATACTAGTTTTCCATTAAATTAAAATACCAAATTACATTAAATAAAAACTACATTAATTGAAATAAAAAAAATAAAAATAACATTAAAAATAAAAATTACATTACTTAAAATAAAAAAATAAAAAAAAGCCTAAAAATACCAAACATAAATAAAATAAACTAGCCCCTACGCCTACGTCGGGCTCGAACCGACTATTTCATTGCGAGAAAAAGCTCCAACTGTTCGTCGTCGAGGTCGTCCAATTTCATTTTCAAGATTTCCATATTGGTTTTTGTTTGGATCGTCGCTTATGGCTCGAACTTTCTCCCAAAAACTTCCGTAAGGTTGACTATCTCTTACCATTGGGTCTTGGGAAGCCGACACCCATGCCTCCACTAACTTTTCTTCTTCGTCTTTTGTCCATGAGACCCTTTTTTGGGTGGTGGTGGGTCGGCCCAATTTTTTTTTTTTCCTTTTTTTCTTTTTTGGTTGAGGTGGTGGTGAAGGTTGCGTTTCCGAAACAAAATCCGGCGAAAGTGGTGGTTGTGAAATTGGTGGTTGTGACGCTTATTGTTGGAATTGTTGGTATTGTTGAATTTGTTGTTGTTGGAAAGTCGGAAAAGGTTGATATTGTTGTTGGAAAAGTAGTGTTTGTTGGAAAGGGGAACCGGTTTGAAGCAAATTGACAAAACCGCCTTGAAGTGATTCCATAGTCGGGAATTGGCGAGGGATTGTATCTAACGCAAAAACGTTATCGGGTTTGCGATTTTTATAGTTTGGAGGGGTATTTTGGTTGGGATCCATAGTTTTTGGTTATGAAGATGTAGTGTGTATTTTGTGTATAAAGAAAGAAAAGAACGATGTAAGAAATAATGGGTAAAAGTGTGGTATTTATAGGTAAATAAATTGGTTAAATTTTTGTTAATTATTATTTTTTGAAATAAACTAGCCTTTGAACGACTATAAACATTTGGTCAAAGTGGGTTGCGATCTTATTCGTCGTTTGCATTCGTTATTCTGAACACCAGCCATCACGGAAACGGCCGACCACGAAACAACGGGGTGGTGTGCACGACCGTTGTTCGTTGCCAGCTCAACCACAATCGGCCTCGATGCATGTATACGGGAAGACCTAACATTTTCATGCTCAGTTATTTGCATTTAATTCCCATAAACACATTTTCATAAAAACATATAGTGACTTGTATCTAACTATCATAAAAATACCTAAACTCGCATCCTTGTAGATGGAAATTTATAAAACTCCGATTTTACAATATTTACATTACACTAGTAAATATAAACCTCACGATATTCTTACATTCCTTTTGGAACCCTATATCCAGCCATTTAGGTGTACAATATTTCACAAAAACATTTTCATGTTTTCTTCATGCTAATATTTTCCCAAAATATGTTTTTTTTGGGATAATGACGAAAAAACCACTATATTTTGTCACATTTTCTTGTTTAACCACCAATTTTTAATAAGTTCCGAACAAACCATCAATTTTTAGTAAAATGTTTCAGCGCGACCACTTTTACCTAATAGAACCTATTTTAAATACGAAAAAAGCACTATATTTTTCTAAAAGTTCGGTTTAACCACCAATTTATGGGTGGTTAAACCAAACTTTTGATAAAATATGGTGTTTTTTCGTACTTAAAATAGGTTTTAATAGGTAACAGTGGGCACGCTGAAACATTTTATCAAAAATTGGTGGCTTTTTCGTAACTTTTTAAAAATTGGTGGTTAAACCGAACTTTTTGAAAAATATAGTGTTTTTTTCGTCATTTTTTTTTTTTTTGGTTATTTTCACACACTTAATCTATCAATTATCAACTTATCACCATAGACAATCAAGAAAAAACACTAAATAACCTAACAACAACAATTTTTTAAATGAGCTCCTAAACATATATGTAATTCAGATGCATTATTGTATCAAAATGTTAACAAAAATCTTAGAAACATTCCTAATAAATGCTTAACATATATTAAACATTATACATTCAAACCTGAAACTTTTATTGTTCTATTGCAAAATGTTTTAAACCTATTTTCATCTATCATTGATTTAATTTTGATTCCGTGACACCAAAATCATCAAATCTAAGTTTTTTCTTTCTATAGTTGTTCATCTCTAAAATCGACATGTAAGAGAAAAAATGATTGGAAAAAGAATCCAGAAGTTGGGTTTTTGATGAATTTAGTCGTGTCTATGGTTCTCAAAATTAGAAGAAAATTCAACAAAATTGTATGAATAGAAATTAAATGTCAATAATTCAATAAACAAGAATTTTCATGAGGTAAAATACCAGTTTAAATGTTTTCCAAAATTTTAATACAAGGTTAGTCTAGATAATTCTATTTGGACATAAACTGAAATTGAAAATTTAAAATGCTCACTTATAAATTACTCCAAGATTGGATTATAATGTATATTTCTACAAGTGACATTTAGATCCTTTGTGTTAAAACTAATGATCAAACGACACGTGGCCTTGTGGTATAAAGAGCTAAACATTCTACAAAAAACGTGAAATAAGGAAAATAAACAAATGGAAGAAAGAGTATGAAACAGATATTCTTTAGGGACTACTTTGTAACTATCACAAAACTTAAGGAATAGTTTGTAAACGTCACCAAATATACTAAACGACGTCGCTAATTCGAGGACAACAAATCATAGATTCGTTAAAGAATGCTATCATTATTGGGAAGTCTTCAGCTCTTTGCCATTTGAATCAACTGAAATTTCTCCGAATCCTAATAAATTAATGCCTTTGGAACTTCCAACTTATGAGATTTCTATATAATTATCAATTGAATGTGGACATATAGTTGTGCTACATAGATTAGGGTTTGAAATTTGTGATGTCTCTAGGTAAATCCTAATTATATTTGCCCAAATTCATCAGGCTTGAAACAAGGGAGCAAACAAAAGCAGCGAATGAATAAGCTAAGATTCGTAGATGACGACGAGATTGAAGATTTTGAACACGATCAAGGTGATATCTTATCTACGACTTAGACATCAATTTCGTCGCTCCTTTTGTGTTAATAAAAATCCGTAAGTTGAATTCATCGTTCCAATGAGATTTTACTTATTCAATTTTGAACATTAATGGTATCAACACAAGTCCTACAAACTGGACAGACAGCAGTCTTAATGAGCCATGAATCAATACAATTAGCATGAAAAGTATGCCTACAATTTGGCAACAATCTGCACTTATCACCTGGCTTAAAACCCTCCAAACATACAGCACACTCAACTCCTTTTTCCACATCTTCTTGATAATCATACCATGGCAGATTCTTTATATCATCTTCTGACATGCTACTACTTCTTTGTATCAAAGTAGTACTTTCAGCAGCGCTTTCTTGAGTCATCCCTGATCCTCTCTCAACTAAACATACAAGAATTATGACCAAAAAAGCAATACCCACAAGCATTAAAATCACACAAGTCACAATTTCTGTCACCATGTTGGATCTTAATTCTCAATTTAAATCAGAGACTGTTTGAAGAATGTAGATGTAAAGAGGGGGAATAGAACAGAGTTTGGTGAGCAAAACAAATATCTTGAAAAATTACAAGTATTATTATATGAGAGCAATTTGAGTTGATTTTGAGATGCAGATCAATGAACACCAGTTTTTTTGTCAAATAAAGAACATAACCATTGATAATTTAGGTCCACCTTTTTCTGTTTTTTTTAATATAATCATTATACTCGTGAAAGTATTAATAAATATTAAGAAGATTTTTTTTGTTATCTAAGTAAACTATAGAAATAGTCCCAGTGGTGCTAAATTTTCTTTGCTTTTGGCCAAATAGGACCCTTTTTTTGGCTCTTATTTGGGGGTTTTGTTGTTGTTGGCCCATGAGGTTAAGCTAAAATACATTAGATCCTTGTTAAATGACTAATTATATTTATAGCCCTTAAGTTTGAATTTTGGTCGAGGAAAATTTGTAGGTTTATTTCAAGTTTTCATTTTGTTACAAATAACCCTTAAGTTTGAATTTTGTTAAGATTTTTGTATGTAGTCATGCAAAATGACTAGAATGACATTATCTTATTCTTTTAAACAACATGCCACCCCAACGAACAACTTAATTTTGGAGTGGTTAATCCAAAGTGATCCGATCGCCACTTGTAAAGAGGTTGCACAAATAATTATAAGTAATTGTAAAGAATTGAATATTGGTTTTCGTATATAAAGTGTTAATAAAGACATATTCTCAGATTTATCATCTCTCATCCATGAGAGATAATTGATATAAAGATAAATATATAAAGTAATTACTGTCGATAATGTTGCGGATATCCTGATGAAAAATCTCTCTCCGAGCTTGTACACAAAGGTTATATGCGTAGCATAGGAATAAGTTTTCTATTTGTGTGGGAGTAGTATAAGTAGGTTAATAATATACGAATTGTAACATGAGCAATGTGAAACTTGTTTTGATTTTAAAGTGTTAAAAGCAAGTACAATCTTCATGTTACGAATTATATCATATTTCGGCCATTGACAAGGTGACATGTGACCAACTGACCATCATATGGACATGATGCGCATATATTAGTTGTGATGCTCACATTGATTTAACTATTTTTTAATTCTTTTCTTTCTAATTTTGGACACGCAGTTTTGTGTAATTGATACATGCAAGATCTTTTTCAAGCTTGAACTAGCTTCCTTTACAACCACATTAAACATATCATACTCAACAAACTTTAAAAGGTAGCTCATGAACCATTGATCATGTGACAAATAACCACTCTCAACGTAGTATTTTCGCTAGGGGTTTGACCCACTTCATTTCTAAGTCAACTCTAAAGAAATATCACCAATAAATTTATTCAATTTTTTCCTCCACAATTTCCCCCCAAATCAACACAAGTCCTACAAAGTGGACAAGCACCAGTCTTAATGAGCCATGAATCAATACAATTAGCATGAAAAGTATGTCTACAGTTTGGCAACAATCTACACTTATCACCACCCTTAAAACCCTCCAAACACACAACACACTCAGCTCCTTTTTCTACATCTTCTTGATAATCATACCATGGAAGATTCTTTATATCATCTTTTGACATGATACTACTCCTTTGCACCAAAGTACTACTCCCAATGCCTTCTTGATTCATCCTTGATCTCCTCCCAGCTAAACATACATGAATTATGACCAAAACAGCAATACCCACAAACAATAACCCCATAGAAGTCACAATTTCTAGCACCATGTTGAATCTTGATTGTAGTTTATGAGGGAAAAAAATAGTTTGGGGCATGGATGTGAAGAAGGGGAAGATCGACTGAAGAGAAGTTTGATGAGCAATAAATTTTTTTTGATAAATTTACATGTATTATATGAAAGCAATTATAGTTGATGTTGAGATGCTGACCAATGAACACCAATTTCTTGTTAAGTAAAGAACACAATCATTGATAATTTAGATCTATTTTTTAAGTAATCAATGCACTCATGAAAGTATTAATAAGCTTTCACCAGCTAAAACTGGAAACATACAGCTCCGTTTTAAGATCATGGAGTGTTCTTTTTTCGTTGTCTATTATTGGTGACTTAACAACTGATGAGTTAATTATAAACCAAATTTAATGAGTGATTTCTATAAATAGGATGATGTGGTACTTAATTTTAAACAAAATAGTTTGGGAGAAAATGATGTGGAAGAGTGAAGTTTACTCTAGAATTGAAGTTACATGGATCGGTATATAGTTTCATATTTGAGGGTGACTTCTTGCCTAATTTTATTATCAGATGTCACTTCGGTTAATTTAAATTTAATTCAATTCAAAATTATGGAAAAGGAAAACAACACCACATTTTATTTAGCATCATCTACCAATATTGTTCAATTATGTTTAAATGTTTTCATTCACCTAGGATGTTGATTGTTGATGTATAGTATTATATGTAGCCCAAGATAGGCCCATTTTATGTAGCCCATTCATTGGGAGTGCTTTTAACAGATTTCGCATTCTAAACATCTAAACTTTCTTTCTTAGTTTAGCAACAACACAATTTGATGTGCCTTTCGATCTATTTTACATACACGGTTCATCATATTCTTGTATCTTTTAATCCCATATTCCCGGATATATATCTTACTCTGTCAATTCAGAAATACGAGGTTGACCAAAATTGACATGCCAAAAATAGATACATTTATGGACAAAAATTGCATTCATCCCATCCATACAAACACACAACACATTCTTTTAAGTATCCCAATTTCAAGAATGCGCCTACACTAACACATAAGGGGATTCAAGACCCAGTAAATCGCCTCTTATTATATAGATTTCATCTCTTAAGGCTCAATCCAATTTTTTCAATCCCAAAGCCTTCATCTCCATTTTAGTAATTTGTTTTGTTTGAAAATTATTTATGTATATATAAACATATAAAAAAAAATATATACATTTATTTGATATATCATAGCCACTTCTGGTTTTGCTACATCGATAACAACAAATGGACAACAAAACCATAAGATTCATCGTTGGGATCGTCGGTTTGTACATCTTCTCTCTCATGAAAATTACAATTTTTTTTTTATATATTTCATGCAAATCAAAGCTTTTCTACTTTAGATGTTCGTATGATCTTGTTTATTGGCAAAAGTTTATGTTAGAATCTTCATAGTTCTTTTTTTTTTGTTTTTTAATTATTTATTTCAATATCTTCTGATGTTAAACAATTTTATTCACCATACTTCGGAAATTTCAATAGTAGTATAAATGCTCAGAATCTAACAGAATAATTTATTGAGTACTCGTGTACATTTATCATTTTATTGACGTAACTTTAAAATACCATTTTTATAAAAATGATGCGACACTAAATGAAGAGATTCATCTTTTGAGAATAATAATAAAAATATACAATTTTAGAATTACGTCAAAAATGCACCTGAATCTATTTAGTCAATGGTTCTGCTATATGAATAATATAATGTCATTTAAAAGAAACGGCGAAATAACTAAATCATTTATGATTAAAAATAGTAAAGTTATTAAAATCACACAATGACAATGACATAAATACGACTTTTTTTTCTAATTTATTCATTTTACATGCATCTCTAATTATTACTATTTTTTTTTAAATTTATGCAGGAAATATCATTTCACTATATCTATATCTTTCTCCGACGTAAGTACTTAAATTGAGTGAAAATTAAAGTATATTCTAGATTCACTCATGCACACAATGGGTTTTCCATTTTGCCCCCATATTTCATAAATGCTCTACTTTAGTCCTCATACTTTAACACTTCTAAAATTTTGCACAAAATAATTTCTTTTTTCATTGCAGACCAACATTTGTAAAAATTGTGAAATTCAAATCTGTAAAAGCATTCAAGCCAGATCCATATCTTGCGACTCTTTTAAGTTGTGTAATGTGGATCTTCTATGGCCTCCCCGTTGTTCATCCACATAGTCTTCTCATTGTCACAGTTAACAGTGCTGGTGTAATAATTAACGTCACCTTCTGCTCCATCTTTTTCCGTTATTCAGCATGGCCTATTCGTGTATGTAAATGTAATTCTTGCTATTCAATCAATTAGTGTATTTTCAATTTTCATAAAAGTCACAAAAAACTTACTACTTCTGACGTTAAACTCGATTTGTGTAAATATAATGCAGAAAAAGATGATTATTGTTTTCATTTTGGAGGCGATTTTTATAGCAGGAATGGTAGCTGTTGCTTTGACACTAGAACACACACACCCTGCGAGATCTATGCTTGTAGGCATACTTTGTGTCATCATGAATATTGTTATGTATGCATCTCCATTAACAGTTGTGGTAAGTAATTATGATTATTGTTAATGTAATATCTTATATAGATGTGACAAAGTCCCTTATGTTCTATATATATAACTCTTTTGGAGTCTTGGACTTTACAATTATTTCATTTTGTATTAAACGAATCTTTCTTTTATTCCATAAGTGATAAAAACAAAAATTGGTTAAACAGAAAACCGTGATCAAGACGAAGAGTGTCAAGTACATGCCAATTTTTTTGTCGATTGGTAATCTTTTAAACGGATCTATTTGGATCGTTTACGCTGCCCTTGATTTCGATCCTTACATCATGGTAAAAATTATAACTAAACCTTACATGTGAATATATTTTCACTTTTTACCCTTTTGATGATTTTGTTTTTCATTTTTGCACAAATTATAGGTTCCTAATGTTTTGGGGGCAATTTCGGGAATGATTCAAGTCGGATTATATGTAAAGTACAACAAAACAACCAATTGGGATGAGGAAGAAGAACCACCTAATGAGGTTGAAATGCCTCCATCTGCTTCCAATGCATAATAGAAGAATTAGCAATCTTGCAATCAGACACCATTCTTTTAGTTGTTGCTATACCAGATAGTGTATATACACGTAAATGAGGTATTACAATATGGGCCTCAGTATCAGCCTCAGAACGAAAAAGTTGGCATCGACATCCTTGTTGTCAGGAGAAATATATCCAATGTTACCTTTTCATGAAAGAAAAGAAGAATCATTGTACAAAATGTACATCTTTTATTTCTTATTGTTAGAAAAAATTGTAAATAGATCGATTAGGTTACTTGTAAATATGATTTGTGAGGATACTCATGTAAAAAGTTTTTTTTACGCATGAAAAAGGTTTTCTGTGTTGAAGACATTTGTTATTGAAAAATTATGTTTTTCCTTTTTGTCGGTGTGTTTACTGTACATATCAAGTTAAATGTCATATTTTTCTAAAAGCATAAAGTAAAGTTTGTACTAGAATGTATGGTCTAAACTTAATAATCTTTCCAAATAATGTGTTTAAAAAACACAAAATAAGAAATGCTTATACTTGTCAAATAGACTAGTTGGATAATAGGGTGTAATAGAAGTGGGCATGTGAGCTAGTCAATTTAGGAAAAAAAAAACGAGACTAGAGCAGTCTAGGACAATTCAATCTTAGTTTGATCTTGATCATCGGTCTTAGGTTGATTCCTATATTTTCGTATATGTCGGCCTTTTATTGATCTCAAGTCGTTCTTGTTTGAGTCTAGAATTGGCCTTAAAAAAACAATTTGAACCGGTCTTATAATAAAAGCCTATTTTGTTTGAATATTTAATTTTTATAAAAAGTTTGAAACCCCTTTTAAAAGTTTAAAGAAAATATCACTTTTTGGTTTTTTAGTAAATCCCTTTAAGATGCTTTTGGTCTTTTTACGTGGATGACATGATTTTTTTGGGCGAGTGAAATGGTGATAACGTAAAAGATCTATAGGAACACGTTAGGGTTTGTGGTGGAGATCTGGATACCAACTTGGATCGTGAGAACATTTTCCGAACTAATATTTCTACCCTATGCCTGAGTTGCAAGAAATTCAGCCTAGGATAATCCAAGTGGACACTTCCGATTCTAGGCACAGAAATCGTAAGCCAATTTGCTAGAAAAAATTTTGTGAGAGTTTGAAGAAAACGAGAGCTAATTTTCGGGATATCACTTCACAGCAGGAAGATTCGTTTATATAATAAACGAAAATAGGGTTTCATTAGGGTTGGGCCGTCATTAGTTGCTTTGGAAGCAAGTCAGGGTAATCCGGATTAATGAGAATTTAGGGTTACCAAAACTAGCGAGTTTCGTTAGTTTTACCATAATCACCCTCAAGAATCTGAATTTTCCACTAAGTTCCCATATGTAAAATTCGGTGAGGTTTTGGGGCGCTGCCCCTAGACCCCGCCAAAGGGGTGCCGCCCCTTTGGAAACCCCGGAGCCAGGGGCGCTGCCCCCGGACCCCCGACTTGTCGTCGAACCGACTTCTAATTCGATCTTATACATGCGTGCACTCTGCACCAACCCGTACATATATTAGAATACAAATTATGAAGCCCCTTAACTCACATGTTAATTCCAGTTACATAAAATGACATGGTGACACTAAAATCACCAACAAGATCTAGTTCGGATTATTGGTTGTTTTGTATTGGGATTTTGTGTTGAGATCAACATGCAAAAGTTGAATTTATTTGGTGTTGTAGCTCTGATTCTTTTCTCTTTACGTATCTTGGTCTTGAGGTTGGATCCAATATGTGTCGGGTGGAAAGTTGGAAGATGGCCATAGATCGTTTTAGAAAAGGATTCGTGAAATGGAAACTAAAGAAAATTTCATTGAGGTCATCTTACGTTGTATAATCTATTTTAGCTAGCTTATGCATATACTTTATGTCTATGGTCTAAAATAGTTTATTGTATTTTGGAAGCTATTAGATCTTGTTTTTTTCTTTTAGGAACTGAGATAATGAAAAGAAAAATGAGTCAGTTAATTGGGACGTATCACCTCCAAAGGAAAAGGGGTGGTCTAGGGGTGGGTGGTTTGTTCGCTTTTAACGATGTGTTATAGTAAAAATGGCGATGACGTTTGATAATGACTTTAATTATTTATGGGTTCAAGTTATTAAAAATATTCATGGTTTAGATGGGGAGCCTGAGTTTTGTATACTGAATGGCGAAAAGTTATTGGAGTGTGTTTGTTTATTGTCAGGCTGTAACACTTCTTTTCCGTCTTATAGTATAAACGATCAGTCATGTAAATAAACGTTTTTATAGAAGACTATTTAAGGATAAAGAGTCATGATGAAAGTCGTAGTAATCAAAAAACCGAGAGCATGTGTACAGAGAACGTCCAAATCTGACTTCATAAGTGGAAGTTATGATTTTTAGAAGTTGCAGTGTAGCAGTGCGCGACACAGAAAATTAAATTAGGATCGGTTGATTGTTGGGAAAAACAATCTAAACTAGAATTGAAGATCTCGTCGATACCTATCCATCAATATAAAGACAGTCGAGAACGGATATTGCATGAGAGAGTTATGATTTTTATACGGGCTTTAACAGTTTAAGTCTATTAAAAATATAGCTTTAAAAATAAAGTGAGAATTAGCCAACGGAGTCTAAACAAAAGTTAGAGATCCAGTCGATAGCTACACGTGGATATAAAGAACGTTAAAAATGGAGCTCGTATGATTAAGTTACGAAATTTACAAAAATCAGAAAATCGCACGCGTACATGCGCACTGTGCGGCGCGCAAACACCACCCGACACATCCCACCAGGTTTTTGCTACGTGTCACCCTCTGACTAAAGCCACGTCACCAGTCCTGACAAGATGCACGACGCACACCCCTACTATAAATAGAAGTGTTCGATCTCTTTCATTTCTCACACCACCCTCACTACAAACTCTCTCATCTCTCTCAAGTTCGACCCTTGGTGTATTTTCGGGAGTCCGAGGAACTCCACTTTAGCGAAGCTCTGAGGTAGTAGAGTCGGGCAAATAGAAGTGCTCGATATCGAAGACCTGCCTGCGATCTTCACGGTTTTAGCTAGGATCCCTATAAGTTAAGCTACGCTTTAAGTGTAATTTATATTTATATTCATAGTCGTAGTTATGGATATATAAATAGGATTTATCAGTAATTACAGTTATAATGCCGATTGATCTACTTATGTGAGAGGTGTTTAGAATGATAATGTTGGCTTGGTTGTTGGATTTCAGAAAGGCTATATGTCGAAATGGTCTTGCATCCCAACTGTCCGACCTAACTGATCCTTATTTGATAGAACTTTCGGTACTCATTGGGATTATTGAAAAATCTAGCTTTCATTACCAAATTGCCATAGGAATTAATAGTTCATAGTATTATAGGTTAATACTTGATAAACGCATCACCCGCCAGTTGGATTGTCAGTATGATCACCCAAATAGCTACCAATCGTCAGAGTAATTGTCCATGTGAGTTATCTCACTATACCGTGTATTACAGTATATATATATATATATATATATATATATATATATATATATATATATATCCATGTATGTTAGGATAGAGAACTAATAGAGTAGAGTTGTGTTGGATCTATATGCCCAAGAATCATTATGGAGTGATATTGCTAATAATATATGATCCTATAAGGTCACACATTTATCAAGTTGGCACATTTTGTATATTTATTATTGATATGATTAATAATAAATAATACTGATTCTTGTATTTTAATTAGGGAATAATTATTGTTTTGTGAAAATAATAATTATAAGAGAGCATTACTAGTTATTATATCATATGGTATGATTTAATAAGTCATGTACAAAGTTTTGGACACTTTGGTTAACCATGATTAAGTTAAAGAGTTACTCTGCCATGGTTAATAAAGTTGGAGACCATTTTTTTCTCTTTCCAAGACACATGGCCGAAAGTTACAAAGGGTGGAAGAGGTTGTCTCCTAACCTCTCTTCGTTGTCCCCCATGCCTCTAAAGTAAGTCCATTACTTTAGATTATTATATGGGGTTGTTTTTTATTTTTCATGGGTATTTAAATAGGTGTCTTGGATGAGTTTGAAAAAGTTTTTCAAGTGAAATCTCTTCCTTTCTCTCCATGGTCGAATCCTCTCTACTCTTCCTCTTCTTGTTGTCTTTTGAAGATTGTTGCAAGATTAGAAGCCCTCTTGAGTTGTTCCCCTTAGTGCTTAATTGAGTTAAGCACTTAAAGGCTTTAGACACTCAAGAATACAAGAAGGAACTAGCATTCCAAGTGTCTTACTCTTGATGGTGGATACTTGTAGAGAAATCATACACTTTGATTTTTGCTATCTTCATCAACACCCCAAAATAGGGTGGGAATTATTTGGTCTGTAATAGAAAAACCCGAAAACCAAATTGAACTGAAATCGATTTCAGACCGAACCATATTCAAATTTGGTTTTCGGTTTGGTTTGAGACCAAACCGAATTGTGAATTTGGTTTTTGGTTCGAGTTTCAGTCTCATGAAGTTTAAACCAAACCGAACCGAAAAAACCGAATTTAATAAATAATTTAATTAAAAATATATTTTATATTTTATATTAAATAAAAATATTAATTATAAAGTAAAAATCATTTTAACTCACTTACTCTTTGGATCATTTTGTATGAAACTTTAGATATTTCTCTTTGCAATTTTAGGTTTCTATGTTAAACCCATTTTAATTTATGTTTGAATTTTTTTTAAGTTTATATTTGGTTTCCTCGGTTTTCAAACCGAACCAAACCAAATTAGAATTCGGTTTTCGGTTTGGTCTAGAGAATTTGAATTCGATTTGGTTCGATTTTCGAATTTGACCACAAAAATTTTCAAACCGAGGAAACCGATTCGAGGAAACCGAAAAACCAAAAACCGAACCGATTCCCACCACCACCCCAAAACCAAGTGGGTTCAAAGGCTTCAAAGGTTATCTCTAAAACATCATATGGTTGTTTTTATTTCATTCTAACCTCTATAAATGGATCCATGATGGTGTGGT